GAGGACGGGTTAGGGGCAGCAAGTCTCAACTCCCTTATGTTTTGCCTTTTGTGTAGGTGCTGAATCGATTCTCTTCAGCCCCTCTGATTCCACTTCCAACACCTCCCATCATCCCGGTACTACCTCAGCAATTTGTGCCCCCCACAAACGTAAGAGACTGTATTCGTCTGCGAGGTCTTCCCTATGCTGCCACCGTCGAGGACATTCTGGACTTCCTGGGGGAGTTTTCCACAGATATCCGGACACATGGGGTTCACATGGTGTTGAACCACCAGGTAAGGAAGTTATCTGTTGGAAAATGGGTTTGCCGTTCTGGTGGTCAAGCGCGTCCCCCCCCCCCCCCACTAAGATATAAGTACAATAGTCCAAAGTTTTACGTTGTGTTTTAGAGAAGATTTAGCTGTACGTATAAGACATCTTTAAGACATACTCCAAAAATTCGCCTGCTGTTAGTGTGATTGTTGGAGTTCGGCTGTCCCATTATCAGCATTTGTTATCAATATATTATGAGTGTGTCCAGCTTTTCCTGTTGTAGCCATTGAACTCTGCAGTTCTGGTGTAAGAGTGATCACAGACCAAACGTAAGCAAAGAGCACACCAGTGTTCTGAACCACTTCACACCCCCAGGCGTGTGTGAGGCGTCCACTTGCACTCAGTAGAATGTGGCCCTGGACAGCTGCCCTCCATAGCAGTAGGTGTGGATCTTCGTCTCAGCAGCATCAGGAACAATTGCAAAGCTTTTCTATAAAAGACTGAATTCTTCCCTAAGCCGTGAAGAACTCACTTGCTTGGTGCTACTTGAGTTTTGGTTAAACAAAATTAATCCTGCTGGGTGCCGGACAGTCGCCTGGTGTCTTGTGCCGTCTCAAGCAGGACAGAGTTCCAAATACTCACAGACTAAGTAGCACTAGGTTAAAACTTAGCAAGTCTGTTAAAAGCAAGCATTTTCTCAGAGTGTTAATGGACGGAATGCAGAATTAAAGTGGAAATACTCATTTTTTTTTTCTGACCACTAATTTCCCACGTCTTCCCACTTGAGGGTTTGTTCACTTTTGTAATTATCTTCCTACTTACTGGGCACAAGTAGTCACAAGCTCCCAAGCCCTTGCACAGCCTTTTCTACACTAGCACATGTTCTTCTAACACTTTGTCTGTGTAAGCCACACACCTTTTCAATCTGACAACTTAAAGCCACTTCACTATTCAGCATCATTAGGGAATTATTTCTTTCAAGTTACTGTTTTCTAATAACCCTGGGGCCATTACCCTTTGATTAACAACAGTAGTCAGATTTGCCTCTCATTTGACCTCCATGACCTGGGGAAAAATGCTCCTTTGATGATGGTTCTTAGCTGCCTGGTAGATGTTGGGTTTCCATCATGGACTGGTTTGTTGCTCGTTTCCCTGGTATGGTGACTAGTATGGTAACTTGCATGGTAATCATTTGTAAAACCATATAATATTATAAATGTTCCCTAGGAGACTTGGAGAACTAACTTTAAAAAGAGCCTAATAAACTGGTCGTCTTTTGTCCCCTCCAGTGTGGTTCAGATGTTAAAATATTACCAAGGTGTTTCACTTGTATGTAACACAAACAGACGGGAATTTTTTTGCTAACAAAAACTACCTCAGAGTACTTCTTTGAGCAGATGGGGGGGGGAGCATGTTGTAAAGAATGGCTTCCCAGCATTGCAGATGGCATCTAGCCACTTAGCGTCATATCTTGCCAATCCCTGACTTACCCTCCAGATACCCTAGTCTCCAGGGGTGAGGGACAAGCTGAAAGGATGTGGCAGGTCAGAAAGGAAGCAAGGCAGAGCCAAAAGACAACACAGGCTTATTTAGTTTCCTGTCGGAGGATATGTTACTAGCTTTTCTCATCAAATGATATTTAATCGGATTTTTCAGAAGGGAAAAGAATCCACTGTATAATCCTCCATTCTGAAGCTGCAGTCACAGCGAGTGAAACCTCTGGAAGCCCTGTAAATTTGACACTAACTTAGCAGAAACCCAAGGGATCTCTTTCAGTCATGTCTCTCAGAACTTCAAGATTTTGTGGGCCATTCTGGTGATTAGGGAACGAAGCCCAAATCCGATTTCAGCAGATCACACTGTCACCCAGGTTTTGTGGCTAAACACGTCGTATACTCGGGTGCTGGTCACTTTGCGTACTTTGTAAGGGACGTTTACTTCCTTGTTGAAGGAGACAGCCTCCTTTGTTTCTGCTCTTCCCACACACTCAGGGCCGCCCGTCAGGAGATGCCTTTATCCAGATGAAGTGTGCAGACCGAGCATTCATGGCTGCGCAGAAGAATCATAAAAAAGTCATGAAGGACAGATATGTGGAAGTCTTTCAGTGTTCAGCTGAGGAGATGAACTTTGTGTTAATGGGGGGCACTTTAAATCGAAATGGCTTATCCCCGCCGCCATGTAAGTTACCATGTAAGTTTTTCTTGGGTCTTGGCGCTATTCTACGCTGTACGCTGGTAGGTGCTTAAGCCGCTCTCTGTGTCACTCACTTTCTGTGCCCCTGGTTCTTCCTGAGGCAGGCGAGGTGGTTACACCAGGCTTTCCCATCTGAAATCACTAGTATCTGGTAATCAGTGAAGACCTTCTTGGTTGTGGACACCCATAATTAGAGATGCTACCCATACCTCCTTTCAAATTATATTCTTGCTTTTCCAGTGATAAGCATTTGGTCTCTGAGGCTTAGTGTGCTCCAGATAAGCACTGACTCTGGGAGGCAACCTGGCTATGTAGATAATTTAATACGCATTTGAAGGTAAAATACACATTTGGCCGGATCCTTTCCTTTCTGTCTTTATGTTTTATTTATTCATTGTTCTTTTACACGTTGAACTTTAAGAAGGATGATTTGATGCCCATTTTGGATTCTTAACTGTTTTAAGCATCAACCTTGTCTTCAAAATGATAGCCCGAAGAGCGTTCCTGCTGCTGTCCAGGATATCTGGAATGAGCAAGTTAGTAAACTACGTTTATATATAAATGCGTAATTGATTTGGCCAATGTTTGATTGGATCACAGGATCAGTGCTTAATTCCAAGCTGTGCTCTTGCTCATTGGCAACTGGGTGCAAGCCATCTGGAATCCTGTTGGAGAGGAATAAGCCCCGTAGTCTAGAAACAAGCTTTGGTTAATGACTAAGGAAACCTGATGTTTCCAAACTTGAGTCTTTTTTTTTTTTTTAAAAATGCAGTTTTTAACCTGCATGTTGGATGTGTCTAAAAACCTTGGGATAATAGTTCAAAGATAACTGGAAAAGGACCCTGGGTTGGGTTGCTGGATTCTATTTGAGTGGGCAGTTAATAGGCATTGAGATTTATTTTGAGCAAAGAGAGATCTGTGGCAGTTACCTCGTTCAATTGTTTGTAGAATGTCTGGTGGGGCTTAATCCTTTTTTTCCCGTTGGAATTCCTGAACTCTAATAATTCCATTTACCTGCTGCTTGCTGTTGGTGAACATCTTATAGTTCATTGTTACTGAGATACAAGGTTTTAGAAATTATGATTAAGTGTGAAAAAAAATACTTTATGGTAATACTTGAATGTCTTCTGCCCATAAATCACTGTGAATATCAGTAACATTAACGTAATATCCCTTAGCGATTGTCCATCAAATATCACGAAACAAATTCCCCATTGTTTCTTGTCCAGTTTATTGTAGACTCAAGTTTTGAGACAAGGTTTCACTATCTACCAGGCTGGCCTGGAGCTCAGTATATAGTCCTTGTTACCTTGGAGCTCAGTGATGCTCCTGCCTCATTCTCCTGGATTCTACTAGGACTATAGGTTCGAGCCATAATTCTCACCTAGCAAAGGAGGAATTTTAAATCCCTATTTCATGTAAAATTGTATTTTTGAGGAGCTAATCTTTAAAAACAATTTTTTAAGAATATATTTCTGCAGCCGGGTGAATGGTGGTGGCGCGTGCCTTTAATCCCAGTACTCAGGAGGCAGAGGTAGGTGGATCTCGGTGAGTTTGAGGCCAGCCTGGTCTATAAATCAAGTCACAGCCAGGGAACTGTTAACACAGAGAAACCCTGTCTCGAAAAACAACAACCAAAAATATATATATACATTTCTGCATCTTTGGTTACTTTTAATACTTTCAAAAAAAGAAGGCAAGATTTTGTTTCCTAAAATTTGGTCCTGTGTCTTTGTAGCAGAAGAGTTGATTTCTTTAAAAGTCAGAAGTTTGGTGACTGTGTGCTTTTAATCTGCCTCTCTGTGCTGCCACCTTTAGGTGACTGCCTAAACCACAACCACAAAA